CGCGCGCGAGAGGAGGGGTGGGGGGGGCGGGGAGGAGGAGGATGGGGGATAGAAGCAGGTCAGTTAAGGAGCGCAGAGTTAGATTGTATGAAAGAAGTTATAATGATGAAATTGTATTACACACAATGACCTAAAATAAAGCATATGATATCGCTAACCGTACCAGGCTCGGAGCGCGTGATCCTTGCGAGTCCTTCTTACCCCATGAGCGCCATCATGCTCGGATGAAGCGTGACTGCGAGCATGCTCGACGACTACGACCTGAGAGATGCAGCAACCGCCTCCTCCCATCCTTCCCTCCTCCTCTCCCTCCCGCCCCACATGCAATCTTCTCCATGTTTCTACTGGGGTACTGAGGGAGGGTTGTGAGGTACCGGTACATATGACTACAATCACCCCCTCTGTCTATACCATTGGGTACTCACCCTACCCTACCTCCGAGATTCGCCTCTGTTCCCACAAATATGTTTGATTCTTCCCCTACCCCACCCTGATTGGCTTCCTTTACTTAACTACCCTCTACCCATGCATCCTAGCTAGTACCCGTGATAAATCCATGTTTCACTACCCCTTCGGCTATATGACAGTCTACCCCATTGATTCACGCACCCTGCCCATGTATACCCCTGCCCCATCACTTGTACTCCCATCGCTTCCCCCACCCCTACCGTACCTTTGATCTACACCCCCACCGTCCTTCTCTCATCCACCACCCTCATGGGGGTAATCAGAACGCTGCTTTTTGCTACCGGTGCGTAGATTATTGTATACCCCCTGTTGGTCCTTAGGGGTACCTGAAGACTACCTACCCTGTTGGAGGCAAAAATGCTCTCACCCACCCTTGGAGGATGCGAATTCTACCCTACCCCCTATCAATTCTACGAACTTCATAAGTGGAGTGCCCACCCGAGGTTCTCAATTTCGTACAACCCAACTCAAGCCACCCTCCTCTGCTCCTACCCCATGCCTCCCCCGACGTCCGCAACTTTCGGTTCTGCCTACCTCGCCCTTCCCAGCGAGTCCCCCACTAGTCCTGCTCTTCCCTCTGCTCTTACCTTCCTCCCTGCTCCTCCTGCTCCTCCCCTACACCACCTCCGACCCTCTCCAAGACAGCGCTTGGTCTCCCTCGCTGCTTTGCTGCGCAACCTCGCATCCGCAGGCCTTGTGACTGTGATACGGAGAGATGATAACTGCATGCTGGGCTTCAGCGAGATTCAAGTGACGCAGCCATACTTCCACGACGCCATGATCGACATGGTCAAGACCAATGATTTCTGGAAGGATGCCAACCGGAGCAGCAGCGGGGACACCAACCACGCTCAGATCATCTACCGCTTCCTCAACATCCTCGGCATACGCCCTAAGGTCAACACTCGCTATGCCTCAGCCGACCAGCAGCAGAAGGCAGACTTCATGTGGTCCATGGAGTGGGCCTTCGACCCCGAGCGCTGGGAGAAGAAGCGCTCTAGCAAAGATTCGCCTCTGCTCGATGAGTACAAGAACGCGACGCCGGATGTTGGCAGGCAGGGCGCGGCAGAGCATGGGCCAGGGCCGGTCTTGCATGGTGCTTTGCCATCAGCAGAGGAGCAGGAGGTGGGGCAGCAGCAGGAGATGGAGGATGAGATGGAGGGGAGCTCGCGTGTAGTTCACGGGCTAGTGGATCGCAGCGATGGGCGGAATGAGAGCAAGTGTGAGGAGGACGACAAGCACATGCAGCAGCTCTACACGGACGAGGCGTGGCGCATGCCCTCCCTTGAGGCCGAGCCCGAGGAGAAGCTGATGCCGCTACCTCAAGTGCCAAAGCAGCCGAGGGTCTTGGCCACGTCGCCTGAGCTGTATGAGGAGCTGGAGGAGTCGGAGGAGCTGCCGGAGTCTCGTCCTGTCTCTCTCTCTCGTAGCAGCAGCTTCGACCGGTGGGACGGATCGAAGAGGGCCAGGTGCTCCTCTGAGTCTTGAGCCCAGGACTCCCAGCCCTTTCCCGGTCCACTCTCCATGGACAGCCGAAAGCATCTTCCGGGAGGCGTCAGTGTTCCTCACGCCATGGGACTAGAAGGAAGAGCATGACTTTGCCGTCAGGAAGAGGGGGGGGAGAGGAGGATGGGGGATAGAAGCAGGTCAGTTAAGGAGCGCAGGGTGAGAGCTAGAGTGTAACTGGAGTGAGAATAATGTCAATGATAATATGTGTGATTTACAAGCATATCACGTTACGATGGATTCTATCAAATTTTTGAAGAATGATGGCTCTGAACAATCCGTGAGTCACAAAATTCGATCAAAACCATATTGGAGCTGTTGTTGTACTGGTTGTAGGAGGTGGTAGCCTCCCGATTTTTGCCGTGATCGTTGAAAAGGGTGGTGAATTGTTTTTCTGTCTCCTCACGCTCAGTGAGATTCCTTCGTATGGATGGCCGAGCTCATTTCAGCTACCTATGGGATCTGAAGAAACAATGCTGTGGTGCCTGTCACCCTCCCCTGCTGGAAGAGAAAGTTGTAGATTTTATTGTGCAGCTGGCGAGGATCGAGATTTTGGCTACAATTCCTCCTGTCATGTCTGTTTCCCTTTCACATGTTCCCAAGTCGTCGCGCGCATGCCCAACATCACAGTCGAGCTTACATGTGACATTGTGCGACTGAAATCATACAGAACCACTGAGAGGCACAGAGGCCAAAGGCTGTTGGAAGCAAGTATCACACTTCACCAGCCTTGAACAGCATTTTGATGCATTGCGTTACCTAAGAGAAACGAATGAGACTTGTTGATTTTGCAGACAATTTTGACATGTTTCTGCAACTCCTCAAGTTCACTTTCATGACCTGCCGAGAACTCGAGGTCAAAGATTTCTTGAAACATGGGAGTTGCATTCTGTACAATGATCATTCTTTGATTTCAGGTCCTTTCCCGCTTCAAAATTCTCTTGACATCTCGACAACTTGTCAATGCCTTCATGACATACACGATTCATCGATTGGCAGTTCGTATAGTTTCATGTTTCACCAGCGCATTAATGCCCGGCTGCCTCCATCCCTGTTTTCCATCTTGTCCTCCTTGCTCCAGGGCTTCTCCCGTGCACAAGTTTCTTCCTCACTCGCACCATCTTGAACACAGACGTGGGAAGTCACTTGGCTTAAAAATTAAAAAAGGAGAACTTGTCTACCCTCGTAGACACAACTTGTCTGGGAGCACTTTCGTGCCTAATTGGCGCTCTGGACTCTTCCTCCTCCTCGCCTCCTCCTCCCTCGCTCTCCCATCAGGAGATTCTCCTCCCTTCCCTCCCTCCCCGTCACTTTCCTGCCTGGTTGACGCTCTGGACTCTTCACTCCTCCATCACCCGCCCGCCCTCGTGCTCTGTTAAAACCCCCGCCTCCTCGACTTCCCGCCTGTCAATGCAGGAAAGACATCGTTTGGTATCCTCCGCATCGGAGATACGTGGTCTTGTACTACCCCCACCCCCCTGTTCCCCACCGCCAAAACACCCTTCGCTCATCCCGCAGTACATTTTTTTAAAATTAGTACCCCCAGTTTAAAATGTTCTTGTCATTCCAGTGAATGTTGGCGGCCAGAGCGGTTCAATCCCTGTAGGGGTGTAGTGAGTTTTCTGGAAATGTAGGGGTGGGGGTAGACCAAAGGAACATATGTTTAAAACAAGAAATGGCGGGCCAGCCATGCAGGAAGAGTTGTGAGCGAGGGAAGCGAGGGAGAGGAGGAGGAGGAGGGAGAGAAAGGAGTCGAACAGGAGGGAGAGTAAGAGAAGATCAGAGAGATTAGCGCAAGGGAGAGCGGAGAGAGGGAGAGAAGGAGGGATGGGGTATTTGATGCAAGGAAAGGGAGGAGAGGGTGCAACGAAATCCAATGAGTGCACAAGAAGGAATAAGTTGTGCAAGAGCATGGGACAGGGTAGAAGAAAGTGAATAGGATGAAGAAATCTGTGAGCAATGCAAGGAATCTTTGTTGATCCCTTATGTCCGTGCTTGCTTGCGTTTGCGGTCTGATCCAAAGAACACTGAGGGTAGTGAGACGATGAGTAATGTAGAGATAGAGACAGCGCGTGGGTGATGCTCGATCCATGTGGGGCTGAATTGTACCAAGATGATGGGTGAGAGGGAGAAGAGGCCAGGGTGTGTGGGTGGTGGCGAAATCGGTTGGATAGGAGAGGGGAGGAGATTTTCAATTCCGTGTGTGTTGGAAATCACGGTCACGCATGATTCGTGTTTCTTGTGCAGAGGGCTGCCTGTCAGGACACCTCAACTTGTGCAGTGAACCGTTTAATGTGAACAACCCGCTCTCTGCTCGCAAGGCAGATATGCTGGCCGCTGCTCTGAAATTCCATTGAGCTCCACTCGTTGTTTGCAACCCCCTCCTTCCCAGCTTCCTTCCCAGCAGGCCGAAGATGACAAGTGACGCGGAGCAAGCGCGAACCGCGCAAGAGTTCTCGCAGAAAGAGAGAAAAAAACTGAGCCGAAGCTTCACGTTCGCGAAATTCCTGGATGAGAAGATGGAAGCAGCTTTCAGAGATGATCTGGATAGCAACACCTGGCTTGAAGGTGAGAAGAGTCTACTCGTTCACGGGCCAAGACTGACATGCGCATGGAAGAACACCTCTGTCTGTGGGGAATAGTTGTCTCAATCTGCGACATCATCGTCAAGGCCTACATCATCCATCTGATAGTCGAGTATGATGCGAAGCTGAGCAGTGCGAATCAACCAATTCAAACAAAACATCTGTGGAACCAAGAGGTGAGCACGGCTGCTATCCGTCTGAGTTGTTCTCCGTTCGGTGCTCTGATGATAAGCTCTCCTCCTGCAGTTCTTCTTGCCAGCCTCGAACACGATCTTGTCGATGTGTTGCATCCTCCTCCTCGGTCTCACCAACATCCAAGTATGCTGGCAGAGCCTTGAATGCACTTTGACCACGTCCTCATGGTTGTGATGTAGACATCGACGAGATTTCATGGCATCAGGTGGCTGTTGAGGTGCAAGAATACCTTGTTTGCTATCTGGACAATCTTTGCAGAGGTAGAACTCCTCTTACCGAGGATTTCCGTAGGATTGACGATTCCTTCTACAGAACTCTCACAGGGTCGGATCGAGTCATGAGAAGTACCTGCAGATCTATGTTCTCCTGCAGGTCTTGTATCACTTGACCGTTGTTGACGAACACAATGATGGGCTTTGATCAGATCTTGTTCGGACATGTTGTCTTCCGAGAGTTCTGGGAGCATGAAACCTGGATTCTCCTCCTGATCTGGGGAAAACTCATCAACTACCTCCGGAATGTCTACATGGTAAGTACCCTCCCTCCCCCGTCCCTTGCACCTCGCAGGATCTCTGACGTCTTTTGCGTCGCAGACTCTGCACGTCTTTCACATGGATTCGGGTTTGTAAATCGCAGCTTCCGGCAGCGATCTCTGACTTTACAGCAGCAACTTTCCTGAAGACCATCAATCTGATGGAGGAGAACGTAGGAGATGGTCAATGACTTCAGCAGCTTCTGAGTCTTCGGCAGGTTGGAGTTGTGTGGAAGACTGGGCTGTCACTGTTCTCCATCGCCGTGCTGCCGCGAGTGTATACCACGTTAAGGAGGAACTGGCTGCTGAGGGTGAAGGGGCCGGAGAGCAACCTGAATCAGGAGAGCATCATTCCAACAGTCTCTGCGACTGTGAGCGAGGAGCTCATCCGAGGGAACGATGGATACTTCGACAACGATGAAGTCAAGTCGCTCGTGCTTCTCGTGAGTGCCTGGACAGCCCAGCAGGGTGCGTGCTGAAGTTCCTTCCTCTCCTCCTTGCAGGTGGGTGATGAAGTGGAGACGATGAAGCAGGCTGTGAAACGCTCCGACAGTGTCTATTCGCTGACAGGCAAGTCGTGGGATGTTTGTTGCTGTTGTATGCCAGTGTACGGTTGTAGCTTTAGTGATTCACGATGTTGTTCTTGGGTCTACATATCACTTGTGTCAAAGTGATGTGTAACCCATCTTTCTTGTGTTGGCTCCTCCTTCTTCCCTCCTCCTCCTTGCTGCTGCTGCTGCTGCTGCTCCTCCTCCTTCCGTGTATTCAGATTGTTTAATTTTCTTTGAAGTCGCTGGCAAGAAATCAAACATCAAGACCTGGAGGAAATCGGACGTCATGGTGAGATCGAACGGGAGGGGCTGCTACCGTCGTTGAGACGTTGGATGTTGCAGATTGGGAGCGGAACATACGGTTGCGTCTACAAGGTCAGCTCCTCGTGTTCTTGCCGTATTCACGGCCATCCACGTTTTGTTCTTCCTTCATCTCAAACTTCTGCACTACTTCTCAAACTTCTTTCGATCTTCTCAAACTTCTGCCGAACTTCCTTCCTGCCGCCTCGAGTCTCTCAGACCTCACCCCGTGATCCTCAGGGCTACGACAAGAAGACCAAGGAAGAGTTCGCGATCAAGACAACGTACCTTCAGGCAACTCCTCCACATGCCTCGTGCTGTCGTCTCAACCTGCAAGCAGGGAATGACCAAATCCAGTCACCTGATTCAGCTCGAGCACGAGCTACAAACTCTCCAGGTGAGTGAGGAGAGGAAGGAGGAGGTCTCGTCTCCTCATGGTGGAGATCTCAGCGCCTGTCGCATCCCAACATCGTCAAGTACAAAGGAGCGAACATCATACAAGATCAGCTCTACATTGTCATGGAATATTGTCAAGCTGGAAGGTTCAAGCCTCCCACCTCTAGTGCCAGGGCAACAACCACCAACTGCTTCTCCCCCTCCCTCTGCTTCTGCTTCAGCTTCTCCCCCTTCCTCTGCTCCTGCTCCTGCTCCTGCTCCTGTCTTTTTTCCTCTCCTTCCCAACTTTCGCTCTCTCTCCAGCTCCTTTGTCTTCCCCTTCATGTAGTCTTTTCTTTCCTCCCTCCCCTCATTCAGCGACAGTCTCTCATCCCTCCTGGACGTCGCCGGCAAGCTGGAAGAGCAAGTGATCCGAGCCTTCACAAGAGATCTCACCGAGGTATCTTCTTCCTCGAAGCCTCCTGTACCCACTGCTCCCTCCTTCTTGATATTCCCCTTTGCCCTCACTCCCCTCCCCTCTTTCTCCTCCTCCTCTTCCTCCCCTCCTCCTCCTCCTACTTGCGCCGTTTCTTGTAGTCTCCTCTTGCCCTCTTTTCTCCCTCTTTGCTGAAACGTTTTCAAAGGGATTATCCTACCTCCACAGACATGGGATGATGCATCGGTACTAGTTCCTCCTTACTCCCCTCAAACCCTCCACACCCCTTTGCTCCTTAGCCTTCCTCCTCTTCCTCCTCTTCCTCCTTCTCCTCCTCTTCCTCTGCTTCACCTGCTTCACCTGCTCCCTCCCTCCCTCCCACTCCCTCTCGTCCTCCTTCTGCTATCATTCTTCTTGACTCACAGTGCTGTAGGGATGTCAAGAGTGGAAATTGTCTAATATCACGAGAAGGAATTATGAAATTGGCAGACTTCGGAGCGGTGAATCGTCTTGCTCCACCCGTTCACCCTTTTGCCATTTTCATCCTTCTGTCCTTCTGAATTGATGCATATCATCATCATCAGTGTCATCATCATCATCATCATCATCATCTCCATCATCTCCATCATCATCTCTATCATCATCCGCACCATCATCATCATTATCATTATCATTATCATCTCCTCCTCCTCCTCCTCCTCCTCCACCACCACCACCACCACCATTATCATCAACAACAAAATCATCGTCTCCCTCATTCATACCTGTCTACCTATCTTATCTCACGCGCTTTTCAGTCGCTGAATATCAAAGACACCTACCGTGGTGACCTCCAAGGAACTCCCGGGTACATCGCGCCGGAGGTGAAGAACATGTCGAGAAGAGTTGGCGTGACATGTCATGACAGCTGCTGAGAGAAAAAGAGCTTCACCGTCAGAGTGATGTGTGGGGTCTCGGGTGATGTTTGACATGTTTGAGAGCGCAATGGTTGAAAATTTCGATCAAAAGGTGTATTGTACATGAGATGTTCACCCTGGAGCTCCCGTTCGATGACAACAGCGATGATCAGCTTAAAGTCCACAAGTTGTATCGGCTTTCACAGGTAGACTTGATTCATGTTGTCTGCTTCTTGATTCTTCTTGTTTGTCTTCTGTCGTTTTCTTCTGATGATCTGCTTCTGGAATAATCATTTCATCTTTCTGACTTGTTGTGTTCTATGTTGTGATTTGCAAAGTTCGTACGTAATATCTCAATTTGGTTTTGTTGATCTCAAATTATTTTGTCGTTCTATGTGTTTCTGTAATCAATTCGTGCATCAAGTGCTTTTCGAGAAATTGATGGCCTGTATCATCATCATCATCATCATCATCATCATCATCATCATCATCATCATCATCATCATCATCATCATCATCATCATCATAACAAGGTCTAAAGCTTCCAAACAGATCGAAGAAGACCCGGAAATTCCTAAAGACATTAGTGAAGAAGCTAGAGAGTTTCTGTCGTCCTGTCTCAAGGTGAGCTTGTACACACCAACATCAACATCAACATCAACATCAACATCAACACCAACATCGACATCGACATCAACATCAACACCAACACCATTATCAACATCAACATCAACATCAACATCAACATCAACATCAACATCAACATCAACACGTCTGAATCATCTCATGAAGATTGATTTCCGGAAACGTTGCAACACCTACAAACTTGCCAAGGTGAGACGTTCTTGTATCATTGCAGAAATTTCTGTCAAGCTGAAACCCTCCCAGTTGAAATTTCTTGAGTGTCGGAACAAACAAGAGGAAACATTGGCTCGGCAACGTGCCGGTAAGGAAACTTTGGAGGATACATGCAATCTTGTGAATACTTCTGATATCTTTGTGTTGATTTCTGAACCTGAATTCATTTCTTGATGTCTTACATGCAAGAGCAATTCTTTCCTCTATTCTTTTCTTCAATTTTTGTTTCTCCTTTACAATATTTTGTGTCTGCGGATCGTCTCAAGTTTTAAAGCGCATTGCTGAAATTTTACATTTTTGCAAACAGTGCTAGCGGCAAATTCATTTCAATCAGGTCAGCTTGTGTTGAGATATTCTTATGTTTTTGCTTTGTCTTTGTTCATGATGACGGTAAAAATGATTGACGGGGACGACGGGGACGGCGATAAATGATGATGATGATGATGATGATGATGATGATGATGACGATGACGATGACGATGATGATGATGATGATGATGATGATGATGATGACGACGATGACGATGATGATGATGATGATGATGATTAGGGTCGGGGCATGCGAGTGGTGGAAGTTCGCAGGATCTTTCTCTTCCGTGGAGGTTCATCATGAATCCCTTGATCTCCTTCATCTCCTTCATCTCCTTCATCTCCTTCATCTCCTTCATCTCCTTCATCTCCTTCATCTCCTTCATCTCCTTCATCTCCTTCATCTCCTTCATCTCCTTCATCTCCTTCATCTCCTTGATCTCGCGACATTCTCTTGTGTCTGTCGCTCTCACTATCCTCCTCCACCGCCATGCTCTCCTCCTCCTCCTCCTCCTCCTCCTCCTCCTCC